AAAAGAGGAAGACCCCCAACGAGATGGATTGGCCAGGTGGCAGCATCAATGGACTCAAGCATGGCAACAGTAGTGAGGTTGGCCCAGGATCGGACAGTGTTTCATTCTGTTGTGCATAAGGTTGCTATGAGTTGGTGCTGACTCGATGGCACCTAACAACAACAATAACTTTTGTCATGAAGTTCTAACTTTAGATAATATCCCATGACTTATCTCATTGAGACCCCACAAAACCCTGCAGAAAGAATAAGTGACTTTTTAAGGTCCATTAACTAATTCGTGGATTATTTAAGCTACTGAAGAAAAGCAATTCTTAGATGCTTAATTAGAGAATTCATTGGGATTTTTAGATCTCAGAAAAATGAAAGGTCAACACAAAATTTGAATAAACAGCTCATTAAGAGAAGGATAAGTGGGAAGATTTGATTCATAAATTTTGGTTTGCATTAATGATATGACACCCTTTTACAAGATATGGTGCCCTCTGGTATGTTATTTATAGATTTGACATAACACTGATTGTTTGCAACCAGTAGAGTTCATCACAAAGATGTTTTCAAATTCATGAGAAAAAAATCTAGAGCTTTGTGTTGTTGCTAAGTGCCGTCAAGTTGGTTCTGACCCATAACAACCCTGTACAGGGTTTCTGAGGAGCAGCTGGTGAGTTTGAACTGCTAATGTTGTGGTTCAAACTACTTTACAGTCCAACGCATTAACCCACAACACCACACCAGGACTCAGAAAATAAGGTCCAACTCTCCTTACTCTTTCCTTAGGCAAACTATTCAACATCTTGGAGCTTAGCTTTGTAAAGTAAGGCAATAACATCTAATCTCATACAGATGTATAAACTAATGTAAATAAAACGTGAAGCACAATTTCTGCAGTTGTGGATTAACAGAAAAAGTACATGATAAATCAATGTTAGTAGAAATGTAGCAACTCAACAGAAGATGCACAATAGCGGTATATTGGTAGTAGTAGCAACAGCACAGAATCAAGGACTATTTGATAGTTTGGAAGGATGACTTTTTAATTTGTATTTTATCCTAATTTTTCTTTTTATAAATCTCCCCTGTAGTGGTCTTAAATGGTAGAATTAAATAAGTTTATAAAATAACCTAATCAATTTGTTAAAAGGCATACCACCACTTGTCTGTCAGTGGCTTGTAGGTTGCTGAGATGCTGGAAGTTATGACACTGGTATTTTAAATACCAACAGAGTCACCCAGGAGTCCTGGTAACCTGTCAGATAAATCCTGTAAAATAAGCACTGGACTGCCACTGTTAAGGTCAGTGGTTCAAACCCAACAGGTGCTCCTTAGAAACCCTAAGTGGGATCACCAGGAACCGGAACCAACTCAACAGTACTTAACAAAAACAACAACAGGGTCACCCATGATGGACAGATTTCAGCAGAGCTTCCAGACTAAGACAGATGAGGAAGAAGGAAAGGCAGATGCCTTCTGAATGTTTAGCCCTTAAAACCTTATGAATTGTAGAACACTGTCAGATAAAGTAACAGAAAAAGAAAACATTATGAATAACACCTCAGCATTCTCAGATATAGTGCCAGAAGATGAGCCCTTCAGGTTGGAAGACAGTCAAAATACGACTGAGGAAGAGCATCCTCCTCAGAGTAGAGGTGAACATAATGATGTGAAAGGAGTGAAGCTTTTGGGACCTTTATTTGCTGATAGGGCACAACTCAAAATGAGGAGACACAGCTGCAAACATAGAATGTACCAAGTATAAATCTAGGAAAATTGGAAATTGTCAAAAAATGAAATGAAAAAAATAAAGATTCATATGTGAGGCATTAGTGAACTGAAATTGACTGTTATTGGCCACTTTGAGTCAGACAAGCATATGGTTAACTACGGCAGGGATGACATCTTCAAGAGGAATGGCTTAGTAGTCGTCATAAAAAAGAACATTTCAAGATCTATCTTGAAGTACAATGCTGTCTCTGACAGGATAATAGTTATATGCCTACAAGGAAGACCAGTTAATACCACTATTATTTAAGTTTGTGCTCCAA